GTGTGCCTTGGCTAGTCTCAGAAGTGCTCACTATCACAGATTTTTTCAGATTTGTGAACAATATTTGAGAGAAATGGTTATTTTGTGTATATAGAAAATGTTTTAGATCTTTGAGTTCATCTCAAGTGTTGCATTTATATGTTTGTTCAGTGTAGAATAATGCACTACGTTGTTGTTTCACTGCAGGTTGAGGCTTTTGGGCAATCTTACTTGTGTTGCTATTAATCACAGGTTAAGCCTTGAGGTAGGCAAAGCATTAAACATGTTTAGAATGTCCTTTTGCAAAATAAAAAACATTTGGATTATCAAACCATCCAGTTAAACCACCTACACTAAACAGCTGAAATGAAAGCAGATTGGTGAGAGCGGTTCTTGTAGATGAGGAAGCTGCATTTACAAGAAGCCCATTTAGATGTTAATGTGGCTTTAGAGATAGACTTGCTCCTCCAGGGCACTCGGATAATTATCTCCATGCTACAGTTGTAGTTGTGCGGGAGTCATTGCAAGCTCCATGAAGCTGAGCCCAAACAGAGACACAGATGCTCTGTATCGGGCTTCTCTCCTTCACAGTCTTACACCATGCAGTTAGAAAAGCTTGCATTACATTCAAAGGTTTTTGGTTTATTAGTGTGTTCAAATTGGAAGGGTAATGTTCTGGCTGCATAACAATTTAACGTTTCTGTAGTTTCTTTTGTCTGAGAACACAGTTTCATGAGCTGCATCCGGAGCTCTTAAATGGCATCCATGTTTCCCTCACTTGCGTCTTGTCTTTGAGACCCTCGCACCAGGGGTTCATGGAGAGACAAATGCGCATAGAGAAGAAAAGAGAACATGTGTTTTAAGAGCAATAGGATGTCTTTGCAGTCACATAAATGTCTCACATGGTCTCTAATGGCTTTCATCGTGGCCTTGGTCTGTCCCAAACATACACATGTACCCAAGATAATTAAAGTATATACAAGCTTATAGCAGTATGTACTCAAAGACGTGCACTCCATCGTGAACAAAACTCCCAATAGCATTTCATTTATCTGCAGTATTTCCTTAAGCCTCTCTGCCAGTGTTTCCTTGCTTCTATCCTTGTGTTCTTGTGCAGAGATATTATTTTTCCCTGATGAGAAAATGTAAAAAGGACCAAACTATATAAAACAGTCCTCACGAATGAACAAAACATTGTTGTCAATTGTATGATGTGTTGTGGAGGAAGTGTTTAATGCAGAGAAATCACTTCACAGTTATCTATGATGACTGATAAGATTGAGAAGTGCTTTTAAATAAAACTTTTCAACATATTTTGAATTTGTATTGTTGAGCTGCAGATCACTGATTGAGTCTTTGGTTTGCATTTCCACCCTGTGAAATATTTGATTTAAACATTTTAGCAAAGTGTATTGGACATGAAATGGTCAAACTTAAAAGATGGTTTGATGAAAATAAGTTAACCCTAAATTTGAATAAAACGAAGTTTATGGTTTTTGCTAATAGAAAAAAAAGATGAAAACATTTCACTGTCCATTGACGGAGAAAGGGTTTCTGAATTTCGATTCTTAGGTGTGACACTGGATGCCACAGAGAGCCTGACATGGAAATCACAAATAGCACATAAAACGAAAGTGTCTAGGAATATTTCTGTTCTAAACAAGGCAACGTATTTGCTAGATTACAAGGCATTGAGAATGTTGTACTGTTCACTCATTTTTCAGTAAGAATAATACAAAAAGCTGATTCAAGAGAACACACCAACAAACTGTTTTTGAAGTCAGGACTCTTGAAACTCAAAGAGATAGCTGAGCTGCAGACATCATCAGTAATGCACAGGGCAAACAGCAGAATGTTTACAACAGTTGTTTGTTTTTGGATCAGACAAGGAAGACCACAGAAGGAAATGAAACTTTAAGCATCCTTATGCAAGGACTACTCTTAAGCAAATGTGTATTTCGGTGGTTGGTGTAAAATTGTGGATTTGTCAACAAAAGGATCTAAAGAATTGTATATGTATTTTTCAGTTAAAGAAATTGTATACATTAAGAAAGGTGGGACTATACAGTATGAAGCAGAATGTGAATAAGTCTATGTACTCTGGTCCTGCATTGCTAAACATTTTTGATGTCTTTGATGTGATGTCTGTTCTTTATTTGCAGGTCCCATTGTTATTGTTGTTGTTATTGTTGTTATTGTTCATTATTATTAAGCGCCGCTCTCCACCTTCGTCTCCAGTATGACTCAGATGAGGGTGTACGGTTATGTTTGGCTGTGAACATTTCTTTTTTATTATGAAGGACAGACCATCTATTTTTATTTATTTGTTTAGAAAGGGGCAGGTCATTTAAGATGTTATTCTTCTCCCTGCTCCTTTTCGCTCAATGGTGTTTGTAGAGACATGTTTTGTTGGCAATTATTGTACATTTGGTTATGCGTACCATGAGCAGGACAAATACAAATGAAATAATAATAAGCCTTAAAGTTCTTTGCCTTGTTTAATCGTGTCATTCTGTGCCCTAAGGAGCGGAAATGGCCGCCACCTCTTCTAAAGCGACAACCATCAAAGGGCCGAGGTGGCATCTTGCGGGAACGCTCTCTGGACCTTCAGGACCGCCAGCGACAGGAAGCGCGCAGACGCCTCATGGCCGTCAAACGAGCAGCTTCTTTCAGACAGAACTCAGCCACAGAGAGGGCAGACAGCATCGAGATCTACATCCCAGAGGCCCAGACACGGCTTTGAGGTCCACAGATTCACCTTTAGCCCCCGTTGTCCACTTCCACCCAAACACCAGCTCGTGGAGTCACATCCAGCCTGCTGTCACCCTCTGTCACTGCTCGTCCACTCTCTCATCACCCGTCACCATTCTCTTGGTTGTCACTACTGAAGCTACACTAGGCAAGAGTTCAGTTGTAAATGTATCATTTTGTGTCAGCTTAAGTCACAATGTGGCACTGCCGTAGGAAAAGAACGCCCCATCTCGCTTGAAAAAGTATTAATACAACATTTAAAACAAATCTCAATACTAGGAGAACTGGACAAACCACTATAAAGACATGTTGCCCCTTGAACCTTTAGTATTTTTTCAGTAAAAACTGATCCCATATCAGATTGGTCAACATGAGCCAAGTTGCCTAGTGTAGCTTTAAACCTACACGGTGCTACACCATTAGAATGAGCTACTATACCCCCAAAATATACATTTCACCTGGTGTTTATTTTCCACCTCATATATTCAAGTTGTTGGTTAATTTTGTCATTGCCAATATTGTTAAAACCCCAGTCCTCTCCATAGTTGCCATTGCCCCACTGTGAGAAAGGGGTAAGGCTACATCTTCCACATTCAAAGTGAGACACAAAGTGCAACTTTTCTAAAGTTTCTCACCAGCAACAGTGGTCTGGAGAGTGATGTTTCCAGCAGTGATGAATCTTAGCAAGGCAAAAAAGCCTTAGAAAATGTAGATTATTGCCAAACTCCTGAAAAGAGAGCAAGTGTATAAGTGTATTTATTATGAGGTTCAAACTCCACACAGCCTCTGCTTTGGAGTTGGCTAAAACCTGGCAGCTTGTTGGAGACATTTCTAGCTGGTTTGTGGTTAAAAAGTCAAAATAGAAAAGTGTTCAAATATTCAACAGCCTCTCGGAGGTGCTGCACAACAATAACATCCATCGTTAAGCAGGCAGGCTGCAGCTGCTGACCACTGTTGCTGAATGAGATTTCAAAATAGGGCAAAAATGAAATCCTAGACCATCATTTTAGAGTTTCCATTCATAAAAACATTCCCTCTTAGGACTTTACACGTTAAAAGCTGCTGGATGCATTTCCATTGCAGAACAAATATGAATTATTAACAAAAGAAAGTTTATGCGCAGCTTGGAGAAGGTGACTGTATCAAACAATGCATTTTGCACCTTATAATATTCATGTTTGTATTTCCAAGGGAAATGTAGTTTATGAAGCTCATGTGATATTGTTGCAGTTGAATTGCAAGGACAGATATGGAAACTTTACTACAGAATTTCATACTACTCTATAGATCATATACACTGCACCTTGTGTTTCTTTTCTTTCCGATGCCGTTCAGGCCTCTCTTAATTACAATATTGTGATTCTAACACTTTGAACTATACTTACAGTATCTATCATATGAACAACATCACAATCTACAGTATACATTTACTACTTATAGTTGGAAACGTTGTGGGTTGATTTGACAGTGCGTTTGTCTTCAGAAACCACATCTCATATCTCACTGCATCTAACCTTTGTTCCAAGTGGGGCTTTTCAAAAGACACTTTTCTGATCTGCTCATGTAGTTTAGGAAAGACAGGTGCAAATGACACTTTAATAATATTCAGTTACTATAGTAAATGGTGCTGCTTTTTACTCTAAAACGGTTGTCCTTTACCCAGTCCTATGTGCACGCACACACACACACTCAAGGACTTTTTAAAACAGAGATTTATTAATATGGTGCCCGTCGTCTCTGATGACTTTTGGTGGATTGTGACTTTAGAAAAAGATCATCTTTGCAATGCTCTTGCCCTCAGTGATGTGAAGGAGGAGAAGGTTTTATGGGTTCACTTCCTTTCTAAACATGCAAAGAGGTTGGTGTTATTTATTTAAGAGACTACAAGCTTTGACATTCCACCTTAAAAAATAAAATATGCCCACCCTGAGCCAAGGGCATTCTGCTAAAGCTGGCTGAACAGACTGCATTGTACCTGTCCATATTTTATACCACAGCAACAATGTCCAACAATTTGCAGCATGCACATTCATCCTCATTTGCAGAGCTAACCCCAGCTAATGAAAACAAATGTCGATACAGGGCCACTAGAACTATGCTGCAGTGTTTAATGTTTCCCATTTGATTGTAATTAGAATAGCACTGAGTCGTGGAGGGCAGTCTGTCCGCTGTAGATGCTTGTGTGAGTGTCAGGATTATGATGGGGTTTATTTTTACTTTGAGTTTCAGTACTTCTTGCTTTGTGACGTGTGCACACCCTAAAACTGAAACCCGAACCTTACCAGACGGCCTTAACCTCATGAATGTAGAGCCCAACAAAAATGCAAAAAAAATCACTTCCTTTGAGACTGCTGAAAATCCAATTCAATTTGAACGGGAGAGAGTTTACTCCAAAATCTTATAATAAATACATTTAAGTTTCTCTAATTCATTTCGGCTTCAAGCTTAAACATGCCGTGTCACCAATCTTCAGCTCGTCTCCCTGATTCTCACAGGAAGTACAGATGTTTTCGCCATTACGAAGGCAAAGGCGTTCATACATAAACAAAAACAGATTTTTTGTTTTACAGCATGTCAATAAAATAGAATCTGATCGATTCATACAAGTTCCAATAAAAATAAAATTCAAGAAATTGATTAAAAGAAATGCAAACGAGAATTCATGATATAGTTACACATTTATGTAGACTGTAAAATGAATGCTTATTTTCTGTGGAGTTTATATTTATATGCACCGTTAAATATATTTAGACTGGATCTCTTGTTCCAGCTGTAAATCACCTTCACTAAACCAAATTCTCACCGAGTGAACTAGTTACTAGCTTACTGTGTATATACTGAGCCCCGATATAGACTAAATAACTATTTATTGAATATAATTATAGCTTAAAAATCAAATATATTATATAATTACAGATTCTTATAACAGGTTATTCTCAATGGATTTTACTTAACTTAAAAACAAATATATTTTTCCATGAAGGGGCTTTGCCTCAAACAAAACTCCATTATATTGTATTTCAGAGAAGAACATAGAGGCTGATTCCATTTAACAACCCTCTGTAGTCAGGAAGCTAAATTATTTAAGTCATTTCATTTTAATAAGCCTTGTTCTAATCATATTCAGTCTGAAGAACAGACATCTTCTACAAAGTGTAGTGCTAAATGTTTTTTATTCAGTCTTTTTAAAATGTATAGAAATAAGGGCATAACAATGGTGGTATCTTCTTTTCCTCAATTATTCCCTAGCAGATCTTTAACAGGAAGTAACACATTCTGTATGTTTCTAATATATATATATAATTGACAGACTTACCTTCTTTTTGCTTGCTTGGTTGACTGTTCACACTTTTAGGGGAACAATCTTCTCACAGTACCTTGAACAAAAAAAAAAGGTGTATTACTTTAAAGTGGACACTTAATGTGAAAACCTGAAAGGAGTGACTAACATATTTTTGTATAGAAGTAAATCTAATCCGGCAGCACATGGTTGATTTAAGGCATATTTGAGTAAACACTATATACAGTAGTGCAACAAGTGTATTCCCTGTGGTGAATGTCACCAGAAGTAGAGTTAACAGATTATTCCCAGTTTAATTCATGTTTTGTAGGACAATAAAAACCTCACGCAATCTTCCACTTCCCTTGTAGGTCTATTAATATCATGAAGGAGAATTTAGTTTAAAATATTAAACACCTCGTTTATTTCACTGGTCCCGCCCCCATAGGGACAGACAGTAGCTTCTCTGATATTTGCTGACGGGCTACTTCAACACTCTGACTGCTCTTCCACCTAACCGAACGTCAAGCAAATCAAGTCTACTTCCCACAGACTGCAAACTGTGATCCCAGTTTTTTGTAGTTTCTTATGTTGCCAGGTAGTTTGAATTGATTTCACTTTTAAACCAGTAGGCATGAGTCAAATCTGTGAAGTGTTTGTCATACGGTATGATGTTGGTTTAGCACATACAAAGGGGAACAGTAGAGTGACAATGATTGACAGGTTGCAGACTCACTGTTGGTGGCTTGTGTCAAAAATGATGTCACTTTGGTTTTTGCACCAATCATCTATCAGTAACAGACACAAAGATGTCCTCTAACGTCACAGGGACACCAGCTGCTGCGAGGGATGAACACAACTAGAGTATGTGTGACGTGAAAAACACATTTTGCGGTATCAAGCAGGGTATTCTATGATCATAGTTGTATATTTTGGGATTACTCGTCGTGAGCATTGCATCTCTGATGAAGCGCTTAATATATTTTGCTTTTTCAGGTCTGTGTCATATTTGTACCCACCGTGCTATGAGGGGCTTAGGAGTTTGGCAATTATGTACATGACAAATCCTCAGGTGCCTTACAGTTTGATCCTCATAGGCCTCTGTGAGGGAGTGTTTTGGGGTTGAGGGAAAACACCTCTCAGAGTGCAGGTTTGTTCGTGACACCATTACAAAGGGCTGGAAACTGTGCTGGGTCGGGCTGCAGGAAAACTGATTTACATTGATATTTGACTAATCCAAACATCCTACTGTAATACATACAGCACAATACAGTGTAGAGGAAAATCAAAGGAGGATTTGCTAACTTTTCAGTCACACAGATGTTCTGCTTCATTAAAAACATGTGAATTGTAGAAAATGTTGATTTTAACATCTCAGAGTGCACGTCAAATCTAGCTTAGCAATTTAACTCCTTGAAATGTCCTCATTTTCCACCTAGCTGTGATATTGTAATCTCTCGATGTTTGGCCTTTTTTTGGCATCTACAGAAACTAAGGACTGACAAACTTGACCAGCCAAAAAGTGCAATAGTGTTTTCATACGAAGACAGGCGGGCTCACCTACAGCTATTTACCTCACGGTTATTAAGTGTGTTAGCGAACATGGTATAGTAGGAGTAGTTGTAATCTCCACAGGAACACTTTGTCATGCCTGTGTACTATGCAGCGGTACTTCTGTGGGGCAGCAGAGCTCATGCAGATCACCTTTTATTTACAGAGCACTGAAAGCACGCTGTCCATCATGCTTTACACTACAGGAGCAAAAACTCTCATTGCCATCCAGGGCTCAATCTTACCATGGTCACCTATTTACTTGTATGCTTATTCAAAGAGAATGAAGCATCTAGTTTAAAGAAAGAGTCAGCTAACTCTCAGTAATACTCCCGGTAGTTTCACTGCAAGGTCATTCGTCCTTGTTTACATCTGTTTATGCTTTGTATACAGCACGGTACGCAGCATCATATTTAACATCTTAATAGTTGTCCTGATGATAAACCTCAGAGAAGTCTGTATAGGTGCTGAATCAACTAACTTCTCTCCTTGTGATTTGCTTTCTTTTTGTTTATTCTGACAATCAGCACACACATCAAAATACACACACACACACACACACACACACACACACACACACACACACACACACACACACACACACACACACACACACGCACACACATATTATATCCTCAAGATAGACCCCTTTTCCTTGTTTGCTTCTTGATACAGACTCCATTCAATTTTCACTGGAAGCTTTTCTCCTTGTTTCTGATACAGTTGCACTGCAAAGATGTCTTTTTTAAATGCTTGCTCTCTCTTCTCATAAATCATGTAACTTGTGATGATCTTAGATCAGCGTTTTGTCTGTTGTCTCAATCCAAACAGCAGTCAAGAGTAATTATGGAACATTATTTGAAGTCACGCTTGCGTTAATACTGGGCTGTATGAGAGTGTTTCTACTCCTCAAGCAATAAGCCTAATTTACATATTTAGTTTGGCTTTTCATCCAATCTTTAGACTCTTTGTAAAGCTAAACCTGAGGGCTGTTAGGTACTGCTGGTGGTTATCGCTGCTAAAAGAAACTGTTTGACATTTTGGGAAATATGCTTATTTGTTGTCTTGGCGAGAATCAGAGAAGTCGATCGATCCCCATGTTTTTACGTTAAAAATGAAGTTACAAGCAGCAGCTGATTAGCAAAGCTTGGCATAAAGACTGGAAACGGGGCGATGGCTGCGTCCAGAAGTAACAAAATAGCACCTCTAAAGCTCACTTATTTTCTCATTTGATCATGTTTGTTTATTTCGTACTAAGGAGTAATATATTTATTCTGTGGTTTTGCAAGGGTTTTCCCACATAATGAAATAAATGTAAAAAAAACGAACTTCTTGTTGTTACACACAGACTTTTGTATGGGACTATCAAACACGATTTAACATGTTAATTAGGGAGTTTAAGGGATGCTGGTAGGCACATTTTGTTACCGAACTGTTTCCCCTATTTTCAGTCTTTTCGGTAAGCTAAGCTAAACTAAGCTAAAAAGAGGCTAAACTAAGCCAAACCAAGCTAAGGTAGGCTAAGCTAAGCTAAGCTAACCATCCCTGGATGTAACTTTTCAAGTAAGCAAGTAAGAAATATGCACAAGACTAAAAGTAATAAATAGTTGAATAAAAAGTGATAGATATACACATATGGTTATGGAATAAAGAACAACAATATAAATTAGGTGAGGTTAACAGCTAAAGTCAGTAAAACGTTCGAACAAGAGATTTATTTTTAGAGAAACCTACTTCCCAAAATGTCAAATTATTCCTTTGAAAGACGAATATTTTCTTATGACAATTAACTTAGAATTTTTTAATGGCGTTGTAATATTTTCTCATACATGATTTCTGTAAGTGATTAAGGTTGATTTTACTATTCATTTGTATTTTTCTTTTTTACTTGCAACCTCAGTCCGCATATACTGAGTTACCAACATCTGCTTATTTTTAGGAACTGTGTTCTACTGTATGAATGGGAGGAGAAATTAGTCGATATCTGTGCCGTTCTTTATGTTTCAAAGGTTTATGAGGAGAGAGAGAAGTCACAACTTAGTTTGCCTTTGGTGGAGAAATGTATTGTGTCGTGGCTGTGGGTAGAAATAACAAGAAGGCCTATTATGGGTTTTGCAATGTGACATGAGAACATTTAAAAAAAAGTTTGTGGTAAGCTTAAACCTATTTTGAATTGTTAGATATATCAATAATGAGGATAAATATAATGCCAAATATTCAGTATTTGTACAGAAATATACATATATAAATATATAATATATGCCTAATTTACATGGAACTATTTTCCGCTCTTGACCATGTTTTTGTTGTTTACCGTTCCTTTGTCAACATTATTTTATAAAGATCTACAGATAGCATGCAGGATAGTGAAAATGAATGTATTATTTAGTGTTTCATTGCTGTTCAGTATTACAGCACTCTACAGATCAGTTTGTGTTTGTAACATTGATTCAAGCTGAATATTTCATTTCTAGATTTGTTTACCTATAATTGTAAACTTTTTTTTTTTTTTTTCTAAATGCAAGGTTTCAAAATGGTTTCAACTATTTATATCATTTTATCATTTTCCTGCTTTATCAATGTGGCTCGGTATATTTTGCCTCTTCTAAGTACTGCTATCAACCATCTGTTGTAAATAATTATGCAATTAAACTTTTTGAAGAAAACGGCATGGTTGTGATTGAGCGCATTTTTTTCCTGTAAGTACCAGGGGTGTGGAGCGGCTTGCAGCTGTCTTCAAGCCATGTGGGATTTTAACTCAAAGCAAAGTGATTTATGGCGAATAAACAAAACCCCAATAAAGTGTCATTTATCCTAATTCTCTATATAACAATAAACAGAAAAGCACTTGATGATGTGCAATGTGCAATCAAAATCAAAAGTGTCTCGTAACAATATTGGCCCCCCAGTTACAACTCTGATTAATGAAGTGACTAATTGATCAATGAAAGAGCCGTAATGAAGTAGAAACATGAACTGCTGCAAATGAAGGATCTCTGATACAGCAGACATTCAGAGGCACATTTTAGTCAGCCAAAGTAGACATTTTCAAATTAGGAACAAATATTTGATATGTGAAGTTAAATAAGTAGTAGGCCTACAATCAAATACATAACCCAGTCTCATGGCATTTTGTGTTATAGTCACGAAATTAATTTAATCTATTGATTAGTGTTCACCAACACGATTTTTGCATTTGTGTTGTTTCACACAGAACGAAAAAGCAATGTATTTCTATTGGTAGTATATTTCGTGCCTTTCGTACCACGTCTTTTTGTCCGGTCGGGTCTTGGAAGACCGGAAGCTGTGTGGTTCATAAAAAAAATGTCTTACCCTAAGCCTAACCCTACCCTTTTTATTTTAAATTGTTTAATGTCGGAGTTTTTTTGCCGTCCGCAAGGAAAAGAAATGGGGCTCAGAGCCTCAGAATACTGAAATCTGTATTTAAAAAAAAAAAAATGTCCTTCTAATTTGTTATTATTTGGTGCAGGCACGAAACATACTTCCAATATAAATACATTGCTTCTAAAATCCAGAATACTGAAAGCTGTATTTTTTTAAATCTCTTTTTCCTTCAAATTTGTTATTATTTGCATTGCTTTTAAAATCGTTCTGTGTGACATGAAAACAATGCGAAAATCGTGTTGGTGAACACGAATCAATAGATTAATTTCGTGAATAACACGAAATGCCGTGAGACTGTGTTGAAATACAG